CTGACCCACACTTTCCGTAATTTGTTACAGCAGTATGAAGATATATTGTGTGGATTTATTAAGTGTTTTGTTTTCTTACCATGTACATACATAAACTTTGACATCTGAATTATTTTGATTTTTCATAGTTCAATGAGGCTGGTAAGGCTTGTAACCTATTTGTATGGATTGATCCCGAGTTGCCGCCGTTTCAGAAGGCTTGTTTTAACAATCTTAAGGCTGAAAAGACCGGTTGCAGGAGCAAGTATTGTGCAAAAATGTAATGGAGAAATTTCTATCAGAGCGGCTAGACATAAAAGCTTCGGAGAAAAAAGCGTTGGAAAATGAGAATAATGTTTTGGGCAACAAATTGGAGATTGAAGCAACAAAAACTGTAGAACTGCAACTGAGCCTTGATGATGCTGTCTGTAAAGTGCAAAGTTTGGAGAAGAAGCTCAAAACTATGAAATCTACATTTTGGTGCATTGTTTGCTTTCTTATTATGCTTTTGTTTTTTAAGTAAGGTTGTGTAGAATAAACTATGATTTTCTTAAACGGCCAGCCAATTTATTTTGTGTGTAATAACTGATATTTTGTAAACCAACTTTGTACTGTTGTATTGTATTAATGAATACTTACTATGCATTCGCCTTTTCAATTTAAAATAATTATATGACTGGTCAGAAGGGATGAAATTAGCCATTGAGGGGTTGTTTATTTCATGGTCAAAAGTTTTATATTTGACATGACGTGCTATGACAAATCACGCCAGGTCTATAGTTAGGCTGAAGCTTTTATTTAATGCTGAGTTGTTTGCAGTAAAAGGACGTCACGAGCATGTGTGGGTGCATGCGTCTGCCACTTTATTTGGTCAAAATATTCACAAACGAAGTGACATGATATGACCAATCACTGTATGGCTAAACTGATTAGAAATCACTTACTTGCCAACAATGATTTCTATCTTTTGCCATGTGAAGCATTAATGATAACGAAGCATGATACCTCTCTATTTAAATGACGCACTTAACAAGGGAAATAATCCCGGCTAAGTAAAACGAACTATGATGATGTTCTTTGATTGAAGTCCACTTTGTACAATTTTCTTTTGTGTTTTGACTGATCTTATGTATAACTACTTTGTACTTTTGAATTAATGACATAATTGTATGCATAAATGTATTGCAATATCAACTTTCAATTTAAATTAAATACATGCATTATTGGTCAAACGGGCTGAATTGCCCATTACCTGATATGAAGTTAAGTGACAACTCACTTCAAGTCTATAGGTAGGCTTATGCTTTTTCAGGTTGAGGTTTTCTTTATAGCTGAGGTTGATTGAACTAAAGTGTTTCACGACTATATGACATGATATGACCAATCGTTGCAGGCCTACAAGTAGGTATTAGTCTTTTGTTTCCATGCACGTCATTACTGCTAAGGAACCATGCTAGCTCCTCTATTTAAATGATACACTTCACAACAAATAAATCCACAAACGCAAAAGGAAGTAAACCACAAATATCTGCAATTTGTAATACAATTCGATGGCTCCTGATTTTGGTGTAGTGCAGGCCGACTATCTGTATGACCCACATTGGACACCAAAGTTTGATGAGTTTCTAATCGAATATTTACTTGAAAATAAGCTGTGTGGTATATTTGTTCCTTTTGCAGATAATAGTGAGTCCATACTTGGTGCTACGAACGCATTTAATGCGTGGTTTTCCAAGAGTTTCACGATAGAGTACATCGGTACCCGCGTTGGAATGTATACCAAACGACATGATATCTTCACAGCGCTGAAAGACAAGGATGGTGTTCAGTACGACGTCGAGCATAACAAGTACCATGCTTCGGACAAAACTTGGTATCAATTGTTTAATGTGAGTTTTCTTAAATGATTTACATTTCCTTTATTACAGATAATAGTCGATAGATGTACAAACTAAAATATTTTTTTTTTTTACATAGTGGGATGATTTTGCCATCGTGTACATGACAGAAGGTGATCCATTGCATAACAAAATTGTCGAGTTGTTTCACGTGGAGCCACCGTACATAAATCCATTCGAGTAGTGTTATATTTCTGACAGCGACGCCGAAGACAAAAAGCAGAAAAGTAAGAAAGGTGGCAAAGATGTTGAAGTTATAAATGTTGAGGACTACACTCCAAAGCGTATGCCACCGAGTAGGTTAGTGCCCTACCCTGTTCGAACAGACATCCCCCGTAAGAAACAACCACCGCGTCCGACCTTTTATATGGGTAGCAGTTCGAAGGCCCCTAAACTGAAGCAATCCATTCATAGTCAAACCGGGTCTAATGATGTCTCCGTGAACCAGCCCAGAAACGACAACTCCACTCACGGTGCACATGAACCGGAAGAAAATTCTACATCTACTGCATGTTCTGTCACTCCTATGGATTACACGCATTATTGGCCATGGAATTAGCCTCGTGACTGCATCCTCTCCTTCTATGTTTGTTCTTGTTTCAGTGGTGTCTCATTATGTTAGTCGTGGTTGGTTGTTTGTTTAATTTTTATTTACTATTATGTTTGTTATTAACTATTATGTTTGTTTTATGGTTACTGCATGTTTATTTTGCATGTTCTGTAGTTGTACCACCGCGTCTGTTTTTATGACCTATGCGTAGCATCTTTAAGGCGTAGGCAGTTGTGTTTGTATTATGTAATAGGAAAGGTATGTATTAGGCGTGGTCTTCTGTATGGTTATGAAGGATATTGAGGCATAATCTACGTTTCTTAATTTATGTACCATTTATGGGTTACGTACCATGTTTATTCGTATACATGTTATGTAAGAATGAAAAATATGTCATTATAGCCATATTATAGGAGTTACCAGTTCAAACACAAATAAACCGTAAAACAATGTCTTAATAAACCTAGAATTATGCTAACACCCACGTCTTACATCATTTCACGCCAAATACCAATATTCAATACAGAAAAGTGTTCAAAAGTTTACCGCTCAAATACATGCTACACACAAATTTTGACCACTCTAAACCAAGGATACCTAAACTAAATCAATGTAAAGACCCACTCCGAATCCTCCTCAACCTCATTTTCTTCAAAGAAATGGTGCATATCGCCATCTTTCAGCCGCTTCTTACCATGAGATCGATCTATATGCATCGAATATGTCTCCCCCTTGAACATAAGCACTGCACGGTCTGTCTCTGGAACCTGTCCTTCAATATGTGCGTTCTAAAATTGCATTGGTATGGGCTTTACAACAACAAAAAATAAAAAATAATATTAAACACGATAACATTTTATTAATTATGCAACAACAATGTTGACGAAAGGTGTAACTGTAAAATATGAAAGCATTCACTTACCAAAAGAGCACGCTCAACGTGAGTTTTTTTTATTTTGATGCTAAACCGGTTCTGTGGAGGCCTCTCTATATCATTACACGTATAGACCTTCACGTTGAACGTTCTGAACTCATCCCGTTCAAAATACAAGTAGTACCCCTGACGTATATCCTCCGATTGAACGTAACGTTGCCAACCATTTGCAAAATGCAAACTAACCCTTGGGTCGTACTCATTTGGACCTCGAATTTTGCAGATGTCCATTGGGTAGTGACGGCCTTCAACAGTTACAAGAGTAACTGGAAAATGCATCACGTGTCTCCCAAAGTAACATTCCGCTTCTTCAATGCCCTATGAAAGTTTATATTTCATATTGTCATTTTTTTTTTTAAGTTTTGAAGTTTTTCTTTCATTTTTTTCTATTGTTTTTTTCCCTTTGTTTTTTTCAGGTTTTGAGGTTCTTTCTTGTCATTAGTTTTTCTCATGTTATGAAGTTTAACTTACCATGATGGGGTAGTCTGGCATGTCCATATATACGTAGAAACACCCCCATGGCGGGTTTTCATTGTAAGTAGCCATAGTGACCCTGCAAGAGCGATATAGCATAAAGAATAAATAAGTTGAAGAAAAAAAAATTCTAACAATTTAAAGAAAAAATAAAGAAAATAACAATTTAAAGAAAATAAATAAAATAAATAAGTTGAAGAAAAACAGAGGTAAAAAAAATCTAACAATACATGGTGACCATTCTAATAAAAAAAATAACAGTTCATTGATCATGTCCCAAAAACCACAAACACATTCATAAATCCCAACAAAACCACACCGGATAAGGACAACAAAACCACAAACACATTCACAAATCCCAATAAAACTACAAACATATGTCGCAACAACCACAAAACCACAAAACCAACAATAACAGTTCACACCGTTCACAAGAAAAGGACAACATAACGCGACACAACGATTTCCCACTAGCAACACTACCCCCGACCATCGCGGATGACCCTCACCATGAGTGCCCTATCCTCTTTCCCATGCCCAAAAACATAGCAAGCTCCCTCGCATTGTTGCATAAACGCAAGCATATCACCATTCGCTCCTCACCGGATAGAAAGTTGAAAGTCCGGAGTGCATCCATTACTTCACCCATTTGAGACTGCGTCGCCTGAGCCTGTGCTGCTCGTTGCCCAGTCTGGCACTGAGTTCGGCCAACCGGCCATCCGTGTTTAGCGAGAAAGTCTCCATGACATTGATGAAACGATCGTCCACCAAGTGTGCGGACCTCCTTTTGGTGCCCCTCGTCTTCCCCCCTCTCTTGGAATTACTTTCAGATGTCGTACCCGATGACTGACCGGCATCATTGCCCGGGCCATGGGTGGGCTGCGTGGTCTGCGAAGGGATCTCATCGTATTCTTCGTACGGCGGGTCTTGCTGTACATCCTGCACCGCGTCTGCGAAAGACTGCGCATCACCACCACATGCCCTGTCTTTCCCGAAGATGACCTCCCAATCATCGAAGTGGGGGAAAGACTTGTTCCTCAGTTCCTTCGCATTTTGATCAACCTATTAGCTATAGGTTGGGACGCAAAAAAAAAAAAAAATGTAATGAGAATATGTAAATTATGTGAAATATATAGACGATTCAGAGTTGGAATTTTAAGCAAACCTTCATCAACGATTGGTACTTATCATCATCACAGGAGAAGCTTTTTAAAACATTATTCCATCCCAAACCCGATTTATTTGCTTTGATATTGGCCAAACTCGCATATGTTTTCTTCCAAACATGCATTTTGGAAGTTATGTGCGGGTCAGCACGAATTTCACATCCGGGAAGATATGTCTTCATCTTTTTTTCCAATTGAAATGCATAGCCCGTTCTGAAGCCGTTTTCCGTTTTCCACCCCTCGGTTACAATATCCTTTAGAGCATTAACTAGGGCATTCTCTTCAGCCGATGTCCACACACGGCGTTTAAAGGTGGCGCCGCCCTCTTTTCCGGTACCCGATGTCATTGATGGTTCCATGACAATTTTGCTGTAGGAAAAATAATGTTGTAGCAATATTTTTTATTATTTTTATTTTGTGTTAATAGAGAATTTCCAAATAAAAATATCTAAAAAAATATCGTCAAACAAAATGATATACTACACAATAAAATATACTGGAAATACACAAAACACAACATTAATATTGTATAATAAACAAAAAAAGTTAATTTAAAAAACATTTGTCACACATATTTAGTAACTAACAGAGTCTTATGAAAGTACACAAAGATAAGTTTGTTTATCAATTAGGGAACACCGCCCTGCCATTCTGTGAACATTTGTTAGGCTAGGAGATCGCGCTTCTGGGTCCATTCGGGACTACTTTCAACTTGATCTATGTAGTCGTCGTCAGACGGTGGGTTGGAAGGTATCGGGAATTCTGGAATCTCATTCTCGATGGGGTCTTCGGGCATTGTTGTACGTATAAAATTATGAATAAGCGCGCATGCCATGATAATGCGATTTTGGGTCCTAATGGGGTAAAAAGAGTTACTCCTAAGAATTGCCCAACACATTTTTAGAATGCCAAAAGCACGTTCAATCGCGTTCCTAGCTTTGGCATGCCGAAGGTTGTAGAGTTCTCTAAAGTTTTGTGGAGTACGGGACCCTGTACCCCATTCATCTAAGTGATATCTGACACCCCTATATGGCGATAGAAAGCCAGAACCATTAGTGTAACCACCATCCACCAAATAATATTGTCCTGCATTGTAAACGATTATGTTATGTTTGATTGAATGTTTAAGGGGGGGGTGTTGTTTACACTATTTATTCTAAAAAATAAAGATAATACCGTTTGGGACTCGGAGTGAATTTTCCCTAGTGATTGCATCTCTTAGTACTCGATTATCAGCAGCAGACCCCTCCCATCCACAAAGCATGTAGGCGAAGTTCATATTTCTATCGCACACCCCAAGTACATTAACTGACACTTGACCCTTTCGATTCCTATATCTTCCCCTATCTTTTGATGGGACCCGCACGTTAATGTATGTACCATCTAGTGCTCCTAGACACCCCTAATGAAAAAAACAAAAAAAAAAAAATAGTATTAGTTTGGAAAGAGATGATAAAAAAAAAAATGACTAAGGATTGGTAAGGGTGTTGTGTAGTAGGCTACCTTGAACCATTTCCACCGTGAATCTGAACAATCATCCTCAACTGGCTTAGGTGTGGCGACTAGGACGGTGTGAAGGCAGATTACCGCATCAAGTACACTGTTAAAGTACTTGCTTACGGTTCTACCTGATCTCGTAAAATCAAACTTCAAGGTGACGTTTTTCTTATGATGTGCGAGGATTGAAAGAAACATGGCAACTTGTTCACTCGGTGCAACGTTTCTAGATTGAACAAGACCCCCTAAATTTTCAAGGAGGAAACAAAGGCGACCAAAACAGTTCCTGTCCATACGGAGGTTCTCAAGGCAAGTGGTGTCGCTAACGTCGACAAGCCTTTGCATATGACTCACTTGAAGGGGCACTCTATTTCTCAATCGGTATGTGAGTCCGCTAGTCAACGAAGGTCGACGGCGGCGAGGGAGTATGAATTTGTGGTAATAGTAACTAGCTACTATGAAAAAAAATCGAGCACCAAGAACAATCTCTTCCAAAAGAGTGAGAATTAGTAATTTGTCTCGCACGTTATCCATCTACGAAGATTGAACAACATACGGACTTCAATGTGTGGCAACAATGTGCAAGTAGTAGACATTATGGAGAAAGGAAGTGTTGAATTATATTCACACATAAACACAATTAAAACAAAATAAGCACAATTAAAACAAACAAGCAAATTTGTTGAAACCACCACTATTGTGTCCATTGGTGGTCTAAGTTGAGACAAATGAAGAAGTAAAAAATCAGAAGGAAAGACAAAGTTGCCCTTGTGGACAAATTAATGTCATTTGCTGATATGTAAATGACATATGAGTTAAAGAAAATAATTAAAACAAAGCACCAGATCAAGCAGTTGTGGACAAATTAATGTCCTTTGCTGATATGTAAATGACATATCAGTTAAGAAAATAATTAAAATGAATCACCAGATCAAGCAGTCATGTGTAACAGCATTCTTTTATATACTTGCCTTCATTTTGTACAAACAAAATTAGAACAAATTAAGCAAATCACATGTACAAATGGCACAAAATGCTGAAACAATAATACATGAACCAGCTTAAGCAGTTAAAACTGAAATCATAATCCTGTACAAATGGCACACAATGCTAACCAACTAAATAATACTGTACAAATGCCACACAATTATCACCAACAATCAAATTAGACTCCATAAAACATCATTAAGAGGCATTTGCCTTTCACATTTTCATAACTACCAACATACAGATACAGATCAAGCATTTAAGCAAATCACACCAATCACAATTCCATGGACTAGCTAAAACAGTCACAATGAAATCATAATACTGTACAAATGCCACACAATTCTCAGCAACTTAATAAGTTCTGTGCAAGGATACACAGACAAGTGCCACACATTTCTCACCAACAATCAATTTAGGCTCAATAAAACAGCATTTATAGGCATTTTTCTTTCACAATTTCAGAACTACCAACATATAGATATACAGAGGTTATACAATTGTTACAACTAACATAAACAAACTATATTTTAAGCAGGAAACAAAAAAGGCATAATAAACCACAAAAAAAGGTTCTCTTGCTATATGACCTTTTATAAAATATTGGAATCTCAATAAGGTCTATAAACCTCAGAAATGGAGCATTTAAATTACACAAAACATGGCTTATAACAGCTCACATACGAAATCCAGGCTAAGCTTTGTACTGCAGACAAAACATGAGTTGCAGCACCTTAAAACATGATTTGCAGCAACTAAAGTCACATGACAACTTCAACATATTGACAGGGAAACAAGAGCAGGATACACTTACATTAAACAAGTGACAAAACTTGATCCCAGCAGTCTTTAAACAGACATAAGAAAAGGGAACAAAAAAATGCAAAGATACACTTCTCAGTTACATCTATTCCATCTGTTCCTTAATGCAGTTGAATACCATTACTAGGTCAAATGAACCTATTGCATACTCAATCAAAAAGAATGACTAAAGAGCACAACAATTACCCCATATAAGTTGTAAACAAATTTGCAATCTTGGTCAGAGAGTTCAAAAATGTTTAGCAATTTGATAGAAAAAGAGCACAACAATATCACCAGACAGTGTGTTGTAAACAGTTAACTGTGATATATAGTAAGATATTGAATACTGTGTTCTGATCCATAGACCACTTCATTAATACTTAACATCTTTACCAACTACGCAAGCAAGTACCTTGGGATTACTGAGATAATTTGTGGGAAAAAAAGTAGAATTGACATATACAGGATTTGAGGTATTGGCACAGGATTTCAAGTTTGCAGTTGTTCAGACACATATACAACATTTAAGAATATTTCTGAAGCAAGTACTCAGACACATATACAGCATTTAAGCAAGTTTTCAGTCACATATACAGCATTTAAGCAAGTTTGCAGTTGTACTCAGACACATACACACATTTCCCAAACTATGTGTGGCTCAGTCACAGTCCAAAGTAAGAATATTTGTGAAGGGAAATGCTACTTTCAATCATACAATTGTTACAACTAACATAAAAAACTATATTTTAAGCAAGAAACAAAAAAGGCATAATAAACCACAAAACAAGCTTCTCTTGCTATATGAACTTTTATAAAATATTGGGATCTCAATAAGGTCTGTAAACCTCAGAAATGGAGCATGTAATCTACACAAAACATGGCTTATAACAGCTAACATACCAAATCCAGACAAAGCTTTATACTACTCATGATCTTAATTCAACAATTCTTAAAAACTCTTACCAAGCACACACATAAGAACTATGTGACTGTTAATAACTCCTAGCACACAGCTTTTCAGCACACAAGTGACACAGGTTTTCAGCACCCAAGTGACATATAAGAACCAAGGCAAATAAGCACCAAAGAATAGGGATCGAAAAACAATAGGTTATATTTTTTCAAAATTAAATATACTATAATGAAACATTGACCTGTATGGCTTAAACAAACAAAATTGGTGGCTGACCCATAATTCATTAAAACTCAACAAAATTCAGCTTGGAACATGATAAAGCAAGGCTCAGCAATTAATCAAAATCAAGGAAAGGCAATACTGCAGCCAAAACATGATTGCAGCAGCTTAACACACTTGCAACACCTTAAAGCATACTTATAAACTGAAAATTAGACCCACTAACTATCAAGTTCAAAACAAGGCATACTTATAACTATCAAATGGATCATGAACTCAGAATAGAACATGATAAAACAAGGCTCAGCAATTAATCAAATCAGGCAAGTCATAACTGCAGACAAAACATGATTTGTTTCTCGCAAAGTCTGATTGCACTGAATATGGTTCTCACCAGTGTACAATGATTTTATGCGTTATAACTCATAATTTTCAGCATGTAAAGTCAATGAGCACGAAGCCTCGAACATTATAACGTAAACGAGGCAAAACTGAGCAATTGTACAAAATGCTAGGAAGCTATTTACCTTCACCTGACACGGAGAAGACCGGAGAGATAGTGGCGACTGGAGATGAGGGTTTCTTCACAGAAATTAGGATTTTGAAAAAAAAAAAAATAAATTAGTACAAAATTCGAATTACCAATCCAAACCGCCATCTTTCGAACAACATATTAGGGCAACATTGAAATGGAAAATGTTAATTGAGCGATATTTGACCTCACCTTTAGTCCCGATATAGAGCACGAACCGTGAATCAACACTACAATCTCGTCGTCGTCTCTACAGAAATTAGGGCAAAATGAAAATAGCACGAACCGTGAATCAACACTACAAGAATCGTCCCATGAACTGACTAGAGTGACAAAAATAAAAATGGAATAGAGTAATATGGTGAAGGTCTCCACTTACCGGTGACGGAGATTCCGAAGGTCGAAGGTTCTGAG